AGCAAAAGACTTGGCAGACGATGCACCATCCCCCAATGAAAAGCAGGGTGTCACTAGCACGTTTAAGAGACCATACAATAAGTGTCAGGGGCCCGAGACTGTTCAACTGCTTCCCAGCACACATAAGGGGGATTACCAACAGACCCCTGGCAGTCTTCAAGCTGGCACTGGACAAGCACCTAAAGTAAGTTCCTGATCAGCCGGGCTGTGGCTCGTACGTTGGTTTGCGTGCAGCCAGCAGCAACAGCCTGGTTGATCAGGCGCTGATCCACCGGGAGGCCTGGTCACAGACCGGGCCGCGGGGGCGTTGACCCCCGAAACTCTCTCCAGGTAAACTCCAGGTATATATATTCTTGTATATTTTTTATATTTCATAAACTAATTTAATTAGCAAGTGTTTAAACCCACCTGGAGGCACTCCTCTATCAAGGCCTGGTCATGGACCAATCTGTGGGGGCATTGACTCCTGGAACACCATCCAGATATTTCTTTAACATGAACCCAACATTACCTCTTCTTACAAATGTGCCACTCATGTGTTTATAAATATTTGTATTGCCATATTACACCTTGTATTCAAGTTAGTAGAATTACTGGCAAGGACACAAGTGCAACTAATGTGACATTTTATTTTTACTGGGCAAATATTTGCCCAGCCTATTTTTATGCTACCCAAGCAATAAGCTTTAATAACCTTCTTAACTCATGTACTAGTTGACTTTTACTACTACATATATTACTACTACTACCACTAATATTACAACTACTACACGTCACTCTGTGTCCATGCATTGTTTGTAAAAGCTTGACAAAGCTCCTGGAGAGTGAAATGTTGCCACAATAAAATGTCACATTAGTTGCATTTGTGTTCTTTTACCTAACATATTACACCTTGTCGGCCTAATCTGACAAGGATATATACAATGAGAGGTGTATCTTGCAGTGTATATATACTGAGCTTATTTTAATCCCTGTTCTAGGGATTGAAGTACTTCTTGATTGGTGGTAAACAAGTTTACTTGTGTAATGAAGACAACTTTTAATGTGTCATATAATTCTTGTTGACAGAATATTACAATATTTCTTTGGCTTCTTCAAGGTAGGTAGGTTCCTTGATGATGCTAAGGGGCCCTTTATCTAAGGAATTGGATTTGACCTCCTTTATCTTCCATAATGGTACTAATAATATTGCTTGGAGGTCTTTGCAACAGCCTAACCAGAGACCAGGCCATGACTAGCACACCAATCGTTGTGTTGAATGACCTTCCATACGGGTTTAGTGTTTCATGAAATCCACTCAGTCTTTTGATATTTCCAGAGCACCAGTCTGTCACTCCAGGGTAGATCATATTCCTCCACCTATTTAAAATCCAGTTCCACTCTGCACTCTTAGTGAGACCACAAGTTGAGATGACTCCCCCTAAAACTAAGTCTGCCTTAATTAATGTTAATTAAAGCCCAATAATTACTTGGTACTCTTCACTGATACTCCCATTATCCAAATATCAATTCACTCAACTGTTCTCCTCCTCACTGGCCAGACTAAGCTGACAATGTATAATAAAGTTAATGGGAAAGGTGTGAAAATAAGACACAAAATGCTGGTTATGACATTTTATTGTGAAGACACCGTCTTCCAGGGACTTTATCAATTCACATAGACAATATGGGTATTTATAGAGCCTGGAAAAGAGGTCCTGATGTGAAAGAATGAGAACATGTGTTCAGATGAAAGTATCTTATCAACTACAGTGGACCTGAATTTTGTGAGCCTTGCGTTTTGTGAATTTCGACTTTCGGCAACTTTTTTCATCAAAATAAAGCCTCGCGGTTTGTGATTTGCCTCGTCATTCGTCCGTCATATGTAACACGTCCATGCTGTCGGGAGCGGCCGAGCATACACAAAGGCTCCCACACAGCATTTAGGAATCAGTGTGGCATTGTTTATGGATGAGTGACCATCACCACACGTGTTCATACGATACATATAGTAATAACAGTAGTAATCCATTCTTTATTGTGCTTGCAACTGCTAAATAAGCCACCATGGACCCAAAGATAGCTTCTAGTGCCAGCCCTTTGCTAAAGAAGATGAGAAACACGATAGAATGAAAGAAAAAGTTTGAAGAAAAATACAAAAGTAGTGGTGGTAGTGGTAGTGATGGTACTGGAGGGTGGTAGTGATGGTGGTAGAGGATGGTAGTGATGGTGGTAGAGGGTGGTTGTGGTTGTGATGGTGGTAGAGGGTGGTAGTGGTTGTGAAGGTGGTAAAGGGTGGTAGTGATGGTGGTAGAGGATGGTAATGGTTGTGATGGTGGTAGTGGTTGTGATGGTGGTAGAGGGTGGTAGTGATGGTGGTAGAGGATGGTAGTGATTGTGGTAGAGGGTAGAGCTGCCAGAGCTCTCTTTATGGAAGGGGATTCCCCTTTATGGAAGTAGATTCCCCTTTCCAAACAATAGTGTAACTTCTCCATCCTCTCCCCTCCTCCTGTCTTCCATACACCAACAAGAGTCTTTTCAATAAAGGTAAGTGTGATGTTATTGTTTTATTCTTGATTTCTCATTCTTCTCTGTATGTAAATCTATATTTAAACTATAAAAAAAATCATTTTTGTTAATACTTTTGGCCAACTGGAATAGATTAATTGGATTTACATTATTTCTTATGGGGAAAATTGTTTCGACATTTGTGAATTCCAATTTCGGCAGACTCTCTAGAACAGATTTAATCACGAAACTCGGGGGTCCACTGTATACGAGTCATATTTTGCTAAGGTAAATATTACATTTTTAACCTTACCAGCCATTTCCCACCAAGGTAGCATAACCCAAAAAAGGAAAAATTCCCTATCATTCATTCATAGTAGCATATCAATCAGATATGCAAGTTAGGAAAATGTAATCATAAGAGCAGAAATATTGTCAAGTACATTTTAAAAGTGCAGAGCCAATTAAGTTCAAACACTATATAGCATGATAACCTGTAAAAACCTATAGACAGGCGAAGTTGAAACTAAAAGCATACAAGATGGGAGAGTTATTTAAATGAAATTAGAAAGCAGTTTATACAGTATTTAAAAGCTCTGCTGGTAATTTACACCAAATGTGACAGCCTGGAAAATAGGTAACAGTTAAATATTTAATGAAGAGGCAACTGTTAAGATTAAACATGAATACAAATACAGCCTCTCCTCACTTAACGACGGAGTTCCTTTCCTAAGACCACATTGGTAAATGAATTCGTCGCTAAGTGAGGAGCATACTATAATGGTAGTGGATGTGTCAACCAGTTTTGATATTATATGTATTATATATTGTAATAAACAGAATAGAAGAAATCAGCTCTTATATACACCTACCATCCGACTTACGACTGAGTTCGGTTCCGAGAAACCGGTCGTAAGTCGAAATGGTCGTAAGTCGAGCTTTACTACTGAATATCAATAAAACATTTTTGTAATGACTTTATTTTATTGTTTTATTTTGGTATTTCATGTTTTACTTTACTTTTTATGCTGTAAGTACTGTATTTTATACTGTAAGATTTAAGATAAACACTGTGTACAACACAAATAGTTGTTTATTTCTCAGAAATTTGGCATAAAAAACACGGTCGTAAGTCGAGTGGTCGTAAGTCGAGCAGGTCGTAAGTCGGATGGTAGGTGTACATTATTTAGGTATGCATAATGGTCAGAGAGCCTGTCGTAAGTCTGAGTCAACGGTAAGTGAGGAAAGGCTGTACATTCACGAGGGCACTAAACCCATAAGAAGTCATACAGTCCCTGGGGAAACAGCAGGTATTCAGATTCAATCCGAGGAAGGGCAGCACAGGTCCAATTCTTTACAATTTGAGGTTATGATTATTCTGTTCACCCTACCAAAAATTTTAGTTACAGAAACATAAAATATTAATTCTTTAATATTATGTATATTGTATATACAGCCTCTCCTCACTTAATGACGAAGTTCTGTTCTTAACACCACGTCGTTAAATGAATTTGTTGCTAAGCGAAGAGCATACTGTAATGGTAGAGAGTTTGTGTCAACCATCTTTGATATTATTTTAATGTCATCTTTGCACCATTTATAACATTCCTGATATACAGTAGTGTACTGTATATTGAAATAAACTGAATAGAGCAAATCAGCTTTAATATACACCTACCATCCGACTTATGACCTGCTCGACTTACGACCACTCGGCTTACGACCATGTTTTTTATGCCAAATTTCTGGGAAATAAACAACTATTTGAGTTGTACACAGTGTTTATCCTAAACCTTACAGTATAAAATACAGTACTAACAACATAAAAAGTAAAGTAAAACATGAAATACCAAAATAAAACAATAAAATAAAGTCATTACAAAAATGTTTTGTTGATATTCAGTAGTAAAGTTCGACTTACGACCATTTCGACTTACGGCTGGTTTCTCGGAACCGAACTCGGTCGTAAGTCGGATGGTAGGTGTACATTATTTAGGTATGAATACTGGTCAAAGAGCCTGTCGTAAGTCCGAGGCGTCAGTAAACGAGTACGCTGTTAGGCGAGGAGAAGCTGTAGTAAAATAAGCAGAATCAAGGAAATCAGCTCTAATGTACATTATTTAGTTATGAATACTGGTCAGAGAACCCATCTTAAGTCGGAGGTGTCGGTAAACGAGTACATTGCTCAGTGAGGAGAGGCTGTATATAGTATGTATTTCATTGCCTGCAGATTTTCTTCCATATGAAATAAGAACTTCATGTGTCTTCCTTGGGTCTTTAAGCCTGCCAAATTCTTTAGTGTAACAAGCACTGATATAATAATGAACACTTACTTCTTTTTTAAATTACGTATTATTATATTCACAAAATGTACTCAAACCACTATTCTTTTCTACATTAAAAGCCTGTTCCATCTTCAAGAGTCGTCTATGTGTTCTGGTACTTAATGAACTCTGATGCTCTGAAGCAAATAATTTATTTTTCTAAATTACTAGGAAACATGAAATTCAAGGTAAAGTTTAAACATTTATTGACTGAAACAGTATACTGTGCAATATTTTCATCGCTACTGGGCAATAAATTATAATACAGTACAGTATACTATATTCATTCCTCACTGCTTTCAATAATTTTTGTAGGATAATAAATATTACAACTATTACCAATATCTTTTTTGGCTCATTATTGTGCTATTACAAGTACATTGGAACCTCGGTACTTGAATTTAATTCGTTCCAGAAGGCTGTTCGAGTGCTGATCTGTTCAAATACCAAACGAATTTTTCCCATAAGGAATAATGTAAATTTGATTAATCCATTTCAGACCCCCAAAAATACACTTTCAGCGACTTTACAGTGTATTTTCGTATGTATAGTATTTATGATTGTAGTCTCGTTTTCTTGGTCTCATTTGATAGAAAGAAAGATATATTACAGAAACAGAGATGATTTTGAATGGTTTACAGACTAAAAGTACCTTGAAATTGAGCTCAATATAGCAGAAATGTTCGATTTTTACTAGTGTTCAAGAATAAACAAATCATATCACGCATCCAATACACGTCAACTGGTGGGTCTAATATGCTTTCACAAATGCGCTGATATTATTTATACCATTTTTTCAATAATGCAGTAGTCTGCATAACAGTAAATCTTCTATTTTTTTTTGTGAATAAAAATTCAAAATGCAAAGCAAGTGGAATATAAGAGGCCCGAAGTGGGAGGAGCTATAGGAGAGAGAGGGTGGGGCCAGCAGAAGGAGCATTCAGTATCTGATGAGTCGTCTTGATAGCCGGATACTAGCGGTGGTGCAAATACAATGTTGTGTAATTACGCTAATATTACTAATAAAGGTTATTTACCTATCACATTTATTCCAACTTGATATCAGAATCTCAATAGATAATCTAGAAGCACAAGATGCCAAAATTAATAAAAGGCATATTATATGGACACAGAGGAAGTGTTTACATCAGGGCAAACACACTAACCAGTTTTCTTTTTGGATGATTATTATCACTAATCTTCTTAGGTCCCAGCGTGACTTTACAAATATAAAAAAAGACACCCAAAATTGCAAAAAAAACATGAAATGGTTTACAGCAGAGTTTTGGAATGAGTGACAGCTGCGGGGAGACTAACACACATGTTCTGGCAGGCCGTGCTTGTTTGGTCAAGTTCCGAGCAAACGGTCTACTACCGAGCAATTTTTTACAGAACAAAGCATTCGAGTGCCAAATTGTTCAAGTACCAAGGTTCCCCTGTACTGGTAGTTACTTATCATTAGTATAATGCACACAGTTGCACACAAATATAATTACACATGGCAAATTAATATGCATTTTTTTAACACGTCGGCCATCTCCCACTGAGGCAGAATGACCCAAAAAAGAATCACTTTCACCATCTCGATTAATATATAATTAATGTAAAATTACACAAATTACAATATCAGTTAACATTATTACCTGCTGTATTAATTATCAGTCAAAAAGACAAATAATATGGCACCTACAATAGCAGTGAAAATTAAAAAAAATAGATACACTGCATTAATCAAAGCACTGTACATAACACACAATTGCAATAAGTAAACAGCACTATGGCTTCCTTATTAATAAATCAAATATGCACTGAACAAGTCTTTTATTTTTTAAACATTTTGCTAAGTGTGAGCTTCATCAAATTAGAATCACATCATTTGTGGATTCCATATTTAAAATAAAAGGTCCTAAACCCACCTGGGTCGTACAATGCTACATGGCACAGGAGTGTTGACAAATGACTTCCACAAATTACTACAGTTCATATAAGTCTGACTTATGTGCTAAGCCACAGAAAATCACATTTAGGAGAGGAAACTCATGATGACATCCTGGTCCATCTTGGACCACTGTCAAGTAACAACTTGGTGATTTGTCACTGGTCATATGTTTACTCTCCTGAGTGCAAGATATTTGTGAATTGTTCCAGCCACAATAATGTTACATATCATTCTTACTGTGATGATATTTCAAACACTAAAAACACCCTAGTAGTAAATTTTCAGCATAACTCTCAAGTGTTAAGGTACTGCTTATTAACAGTACTTGTATTTCATAACCTCACAAGTTATCACCTTGACATACAGGATTCAGTTAATAATAATACATGTATAGGTTTGGTTCAAAGTCTGTCAGTTACATGAGAACTATTAAGGCTGTATATCACTTGTACACCACAGTCAAAGATGCTTTAATTCAGAAATTAGGAATTAGAGCAAACTTTTAGTGTATATACAATGAAAGATACAAACCTCTCATTGCATATAACCTCTATGTGTTGCTTGTTGTCTCCTCACAGCCAGCATACAGAGTCTACCAAGTAAGTACAATACAGGATGACCCAACTTGAGCATAAGTAATTGTAAATAATAAATTCTGAAAATAAAGCAAAGTTAAAAAAGATTAAAATGCTTTAGCAATTACAGTAATAACAAAGTCGGTAATTGAAGTACTATCTCAAAAGAATTAGTTTACTAGAAGAAATTAATCAGCTTTGTCTAATGGTGATAACTGAATTGTATTATTAAATACGTATGAAGGTGAATGTATAAGAGGTGTTTGTGCAGAAAAAATGTGAGAATGGTAACTGAGCTTGCAGGAATTAGGAAGTAAAGGTAGCAGAGAAAAACCCTGAATAAAGTAAAAAGTAGGTCTTAGATAGGGATGTGTAATGTCACCATGGCTGTTTAACATATTTACAGATGGGGTTGTAAAAGAAGTAAATGCTAGGGTGTTCGGGAGAGGGGTGGGATTAAATTATGAGGAATCAAATAAAAAATGGGAGTTGACACAGTTACTTTTTGCTGATGATACTGTGATTTGGGAGATTCTAAAGAAAAGTTACAAAGGTTAGTGGATGAGTTTGGGAGGGTGAGTAAAGCTAGAAAGCTGAAAGTGAACATAGATAAGAGTAAGGTGATGAGGGTATTAAGAAAAATTGGAGGGAGGAAGCATGGAAGAAGTGAATGTTTTCAGATACATATTTAGGAGTTGACTTGTCAGCAGATGGGTCTGTGAAGGATGTTAACCATAGAATCGATGAAGGAAAAAATGTGAGTGGTGCGTTGAGGTATCTGTGGACACAAGAAACATTGTCCATGGAGGCAAGGAAGGGAATGTATGAAAGCTTAGTGGTACCAACACTCATATGGGTGTGAGGTATGGACTGTAAATGCTGCAGTGAGGAGGCGGTTGGAGGCAGTGGAGATGTCGTGTCTAAGGGCAGTGTGTGGCGTAAATATTATACAGAGAATTCGTAGTGGAAATTAGGTGTGGAGTTACTAAAAGCATTAGTTAGAGGGCTGAAGAGGGGTTGTTGAGGTGGCTCGGTCATTTAGAGAGAGTGGAACAAAGCAGAATGGCTTGGAAAGTGTATAAATCTGTGAGGGAAGGAAGGCGGGGTAGGGGTCGCCCTTGAAAAGGCTGGAGGGGGTAAAGAGGTTTTGTGGGCAAGGGGCTTGGACTTCCAGCAAGCGTGCATGAGCACGTTTGATAGGAGTGGAGACAAATGGTTTTCAGGACCTGACGAGCTATTGGAGTGTGAGCAGGGTAATATTTTATGAAGGGATTCAGGGAAACCAAGTAGCCAGACTCGAGTCCTGGAAATGGGAAGTACAGTGCCTGCATTTTAAAGGAGGGGTTGCTTGGGATATTGGTTGTTTGGAGGGGCATGTAAATTGTCGTATCTGAGCGCCTCTGCAAAGACAATGATTATGTATGAGTGATGGTAAAAGTGTTGAATGATGATGAAATTTTTTTCTTTTTTTTGGGACACCTCTGCCTTGGTGGGAAACGACTGATGTGTTGTCAACCATCATTGATATCGTTTAATGCCACCTTCGCACCATTTATAACATTTCTGGTATACTTTTAAATGTTTTTTAGTAGTGTACTCTATTTTTTTTTTAACAAGTCGGCTGTCTCCCACCGAGGCAGGATGACCCAAAAAGAAAGAAAATCCCCAAAAAGAAAATACTTTCATCATCATTAACATTTTCACCTCACTCACACATAATCACTGTTTTTGCAGAGGTGCTCAGAATACAACAGCTTAGAAGCATATGCATATAAAGGTACACAACATATCCCTCCAAACTACCAATATCCCAAATCCCTCCTTTAACCCTTTGACTGTTTCAGGCCCCTCTCTGAAACTGTCATTCTATGTCGCTCAATTTTTGAAAAAAAAAAAAAAAAAAAAATATTATTTTTTCTTATGAAATGATAGAGAATCTTTTCCTGATGGTAATGACACCAAAAGTTCGAAATTTGGTCGAAAACTCATGGAATTATGCTCCCGCGAAGTTAGCGGTCTCGGCGACATATGCGTATCGGCGATTTCGCCGACTTTGAGCCCTATTTTCAGCCAATTCCATTGTTCCAGTTGACCAAACTCATAGATATTTCTTTAGAACTCCATTTTATCTATCAGCTGAGTACAAGAAACCTCCCATTTACTAATTTGGACTACCCAATATGGTGGCGAGAAATTGGCAATTTGGCCAATTTCACACAAACTAAAAAAGATGCCAATTTCAAAATAGGGTCCAGAATAAACAAGGTAGACATTCGTGGTACTAAAATAACATATGCTCTGTTCATTAGTCACATCTCTAAGCCCCTCTTATATTATTATTGCTTTCTATTTTGATTTTTTATTCATACAAAAAAATACAAAATTTACTGTTATGCAGACTACTGCATTACTGTAAAAATGGTATAAATAGCTTCATCAGTCTATACAAAGGAGAATCGTGAAGAGGAGGAGGAGGAGTTTGAGGTAATCAGTCCCTCAGCCTTGAGTCGATGAAATCGGTCCATCAATCTTGAAAAGAATACAGCACATGTAAGAAGAAGTAGCTTATATACTGTAGGTAGGTGAGGTGCAGCAGTTGTAGGAGGTATCACATTTGACAAATCCAAATGTGGAAGTAGGTCATGCCTAAAGGTTAGGCAAGAGAAGAATTCTCTGTATTAAGATTCCAAGATGTTGCTATGTATGGCAGGAATGTAGATAAATGGTTCAGAGAACTGACAAGTTGATAAATTAGACACTTGGGTATCTTTAATGAGGAAATATTTCGCCACACAGTGGCTTCGTTTCCTCATTAAATATACTCAAGTGTTGCACATATGTGCAATGCCAAATAGAACTAGGCATTGTACACATATAGTACACTCATTACTTACCTTAAAATATTTGTAATCTTAATGAAGGGTGAGATGAGTAGTGTTTATAATAAGAATTCAGGTGTCATAGGTATGGTAGCCAGCCAGGCCAACCCAGCCCATCCACTTAACATTTAAAGTGTCCCAAAGCGATAAAATGCATATACAGTTCACTCATTACTTACTTTAAAATATTTCTAGTCTTAATGTAAGGTGAGAGGTGAATAAACGAGATAAAACGAATAAACGAGAGAATGAGTAAATGAGAGAGGACAGAGACGAGGAGGATGTAAACAAACACACATTTGTATTTTACCACAGTACAACATTTGGAATTGGAATTGTGCTCCAGTTCCCTAAATTAATAATAATAATAATAATAATAGTTATAATAATAATAGTAATAATAATAATAATAGAGAGCCTTTGTTCCCTAAATTAATAATAATAATTATTATAATAATAATTATTAGCAGTTTGGAGGGATATGTTGTGTATCTTTATACGTATATGCTTCTAAACTGTTGTGTTCTGAGCACCTCTGCAAAAACAGTGATTATGTGTGAGTGAGGTGAAAGTGTTGAATGATGATGAAAGTATTTTCTTTTTGGGGATTTTCTTTCTTTTTTGGGTCACCCTGCCTCGGTGGGAGACGGCCGACTTGTTGAAGAAAAAAAAAAATTAATAATAATAATGAGCTTCAAAACACCGCCAACTGATGCAGTGCACTGTTTACCTCGTCATGGAAGCATTTCTCTCGTGTTTTGCTTGCATTTTGTGTAGTTATTTTGCCAAATTGCTTTTATCTAACAATGGGTCCTAAGAAAGTAAGTGCAAAGGACAGTGCTGAGAAGAAAAAGAGGATGATGTCCATGGAATTAAAGCATAAAAAATCATAGACAAACACAAGCGAGGTGTGAGGGTTGATGAGAAAGCTGCTCGTAACTCAGATTTTGGCTCGTAACTCAGAGCAAAAAATCGACTGAGCAACGGCTCGTATCTCGAAAAACTCATATGTTTAGAAACTCGTAAGTAGAGGTTCCACTATACTATATAAAAGGAAGTGATAATCCTTCAAGCTACTACTACTCCCTCCACAACATTTTTGCCCACTTTAGCACTGAAATCCCCAACCACCATTACTCTCACACTTAGTTCAAAACTCCCCACGCATTCACTCAACATTCCCGAAAATCTCTCTCTCCTCTGCACTTCTCTCTTCTCCAGGTGCATATACGTTTACTATAACCCACTTTTCACATCCAACCTTTATTTTACTCCACATAATCCTTGAATTAATACACTTATAGTCCCTCTTTTCCAGCCATAACTTATCCTTCAACATTATTGCTACTCCTTCTTTAGCTCTAACTCTATTTGAAACCCCTGACCTAATCTCATTTATTCCTCTCCACTGAAACTCTCCCACCCCCTTCAGCTTGGTTTCACTTAAAGCCAGGACATCCAGCTTCTTCTCATTCATAACATCCACAATCATCTTTCTTATCATTTGCACAACATCCATGCACATTCAGACTTCCCACTTTGACAATTTTCTTCTTATTCTTTTTAGTAATTATTACAGGAAAAGGGGTTACTAGCCCATTGTTCCCGGCATTTTAGTTGACTTTTACAACACACATGGCTTATGGAGGAAAGATTCTTATTCCACTTCCCCATGGATATAAAAGGAAAAGTAATAAGACCAAGAACTATTAAGATAAAATCAAAGAAAACTCAGATGAGTGTGTATAAAGAAACATGTACATGTATGTGTAGTGTGACCTAAGTGTAAGTAGAAGTAGCAAGACGTACCTGTAATCTTGCATATTTATGAGACAGACAAAAGACACCAGGCATATATGAGAGAATCAGCTAAAAGAGTAGCGATAAAGTTAAATGAACAATTACAAATTGTCTGTATGCTGCTGGAGTGGGATTTATAGTGACATTTCCTAATTTTACTACCCTAGGAAATTGCTGTTTGACACATCTGATTTTGCAGATGTGCTTCTGTTATGTCCAGGGACTTTCAATGCATATTACATGTATAAGATGTGTTTAACCATGCATATTTGCTTTTTCAAAATATCCAGCAATGGTTAATCTCTTTACGGTCATGTTTGTTACCTTCTGCTGGTCTTCAGGGCAAAGACCATGCCACTACAGTGGAAAAGCTTCCTCAGAAGTGTATGTAGTACCCTTACCACAATGAACACAAACCTCGTCTTTAAACCTCTGGCATCTGGGAACAATCTCTTGTGTCAGGGTGAGTGTCAAGATGTGGGTGAGCTTGCTCACTCTATTCCATCATTGTGATGTTGCTTTGGCTTTCCTTCAGACTGATCACTCTCATTTGTAACATGGGTACCTTCTGAAGGGGGGCCTGGCCTTTCTGCTGGGTTTCATTCACAATGATGCTTCTTGGTGGCTTGGTGGACTGCCTAATATATTGAGACTGGCAGAGGCTACACTTTCTGAGGCATCTAATTTACAAATTTTAGCCTCGTTCCAAGTTAGCCATGTTTTCAGCAGACTTATTAATCATTGGTCATAAGCAGTAGGACTAATGGGTTATCAAGCCTTCTGCCAGTGCTTAAAAAGTTCAGCATTAATGCCCCGGTTTGATGAGGCCCTATTCCAAGGCCAAAATGCCAAAAACTTCTGAAGAAAAAAAAATCACCCAGACTTGACATCAGCTTCACGTATCATCATCATGAGCCTGAGCAGTGACGCTCTGTCGCTGCTGGAGTATCGCAACAGATACCTGTCCTTCATATCAATGAGTTCTGTGTTTGTTAGGGTTAACTGTCCCCCTTTCTTCCTTTCCCATTCCACACCCACCATATCCAAAAAACTCTCATAAAGAAATACCTTTGCCATATTTTCAGAAGCTAAGTTGAGTGCAGACACATCTATGCCATATTTGAAACCTCCAGCTTGAATACAAAGCCAAGATTCAAGGCATGATCTTTTGTACTCAGGAAAATGAACATTAGACCACATTTCTGGGTGGTGTGGCTCTCCATGGAGGTGAAGATTACAAGCTTTGTTCCAAATGGGATAGTGGATGCTATGTACCCATTTGAGAGTATAGCCAATTGCTTGAGAGAAGGCAAATTTTGAGAGATCATGACGTTCTAATATTTCTTCAGGCAATTCAGGCATAAACTTTGACAGTCGATGGTAACTCTGCATGATCCAATACCGATGATCTTTCATCTGAGAAAAATGTTCTCGAACATTAAAATCCTCCCAAATAATTTTTACTAGATCAACTTCTGCCACTGAAATGTTGGACAGTTCTGCTCCACTGTCTTCCTCTGGAGGACTTGCCCGATTTTCAACAACAAATATCCACTGCAAATGATTTTCTTCAATGAACTGTTCCTCAATAGCTCTCTTTAGAATGAGTTCTTCTACATATTTCCTTAAATTATAGTTCCAATACTTCATTACTACAACTGCTACCATGATGAAATATGCTCGATCACTTGCTTGCTTCATGATTTCCTCATCAACGCTCTCATAACTAGACCCAATTCCTTGTGGTAAACTTGCTGCTCCTTTTGCATGTTGTAACATTCGACTTAGTTCGTCTCTCTTCTGGGACCTCATCTGAGAAAGAAGAGCAGATCTGTCTTCTTCACACACTAAAGACAGAAGTCTTAATTCCTTTTCTGTCAGGTTTGCTTTCTGCCACGACATATCAGAAGCTTTTACTCGTTTCATGAATTCCTTTATGAATTTTCGCTGTGGCACAGTATATCTACATAGAAATCGATCTTCTATGTACACGAGGTCAGTGGTGGTAATATCTAACTGTTGTCCTTTTTTCCTCTCCCATTCAACAGCCACCATGTCTAAAAAGCTCTCAAGTAAGAAAACTTCAGCAAAGTCTTCAGAAGCAAAATCATGAGTAGCTAAATTGACCCCATAAGGAAAACCATCACAAATCTCTCCAGCACATTTCATCCAAAGCTCCAATTTCTTACATTTTTCTTCTGGTGTGTATATTTTTGACCACGTCTGAGGATGATGAGGCTCATTATGCAGATGAAAGTCACAAGCTATCCTCCAAATATCATGAGCAGTACTGTGCACAAATTTCAGTGTGTAACCAACAGCCTGACTGAATGCAAATTTAGTAAGATCATGTCGTTCAATAACTTCGGGACAGAGAGAAGGCATAAAGCCTTTGAGTCGGTCATATGAGCGTTGAACCCATAAGCGATGTACATTTACCTGATCAAAATACGCTTTCATGTTATATTTGTTCCAAATGAGATCAATGATGATATCATCCTGGTCTTCAATCACCCATCCATCTTCCTCTTCTTCAGCACTGTCAAGGACGCACACAAACTTGATATCTTTACTCTCCAGGTAATTTTCACATATGGCTTTGTTAAGCATCAACTTTTCCGCGTACTTCCGCATCTTTGGTGACCACACTTCAGTAATTAATACAGCAATGCTGATATATGTAGCAGCCCTTTCAGCTTTGCTGATGCATTCTGACAAACTCAAGTTTCTGTCCCAAGAGCTCTTCTGTCTAAGTCTATTTTCCTCATTTACTCTGGCTGATTCTATTAGAGAAGGCACCAACTTTTGCATTTTATATGGCAAAGTCTTGCACATCATTTGTTTTGTATCGGTTTCCATTTTCTTGATTATATTACTTAATGCAATATTGTTAATGAGCAAAACTACAGGAGAAACCAAAGCAATTATGGTATTGTGTAAATGGCATCGCTAAACTACTGACAATATTAGTTAATATATCTATGAAAAGTGCAGGGAAAATATATGCCAATGTATAACTTACCAGTTGATACTGCAAAGTAATCCAACCAATAAGAATTAACCTGCAGAATTAAGAGAGGATCCAACGGGTCTGATCATTAGCATTCTGGATCTTTCTGTAATAACATTAAAGTTAAAATTATATGTAATGAGAATTTAATATGTACTTGGCTACCAAAATTTTTCCAATACAAAAAAATATTAGTTCCAATACAGGAAGGATTTGGAATGGATTCTTAAGTCTCAGGATCCTTGCCAAAAAAGGTTTAAATAATCTTGTAGCACATTAAAACTGCATAGGATTATCAATGACTCAGGATTTTCCAAAAAAGCTGAAACTATCTTGTAGCACTTATGCAGAATGGAAACCATCCTTGGCACTCAGGAATTTCCAAGAAAAAAAAGTTCAAACTATCTTGCAGCACTCTTAAATAGTGTGGGATTTATCCTTGACTCTCAGGATCTCCCAGAAAATTTTGTTAGGAACATGACTCAAGCTGATGATGGATGTTTAGCCTCAAGCACACTCAACTGAAGGAACTGCTGAGAAGTTCTCACAGATGTCCTTGTTTTCTGGAAAAAATGCACATCTGTCAAATTTTTATGAGTCTGCGAAATGTTTTGTTAAGTACGAGATGAAAAGCATCATGAGCAACAAAATTACGATGCCATATTTATTACATATGAAAGAGGAAACATATGATCATAATAACAGTAAAAAAAAAATTGACTGAGAAACTGTCATAAACAACTATATTTTCATTAAAATAAATGATACTGAAGGGGCTTATTATTTATTTCATGTCTGGCAACAAAATTGTAAATTAAGTCATGTAATAAGAAATGTTGAAATTTCTGGTGAGGAACAATAGGGTGATAAGAAACAGCAGAGAACTTCTTTAAATAATCTTGTAGATTGTGTCCTACTATTTTTAGCTGCTTGTCGATACTAAACACAAAAGCTGCAAAAAAAATCCACAGCTATGTATATACTGTAGTCCTTTAATGTTAAATATTCCTATGTTTGTCCAAAATGCTGTGCATATTATGGCTTTTCAACTTGTACAAAATTTATGTAAAATTAATTTAAATTAACATTATTTTTATTATTAATACTGTGGTACCTCAGGATACGAACTTAATTCATTCCAGAAGGCTGTTCGAGTGCCAATACCGAATTAATTTGTTCCCATAAGGAATTATGTAAATTAGATTAATCCGTTTCAGACCCTCAAAAATACACTTACAAAGCACTTACATAAATACACTTACATAACTGTTCAAGTTTTGAGCTGTTCGTATCCTGAGATACCACTGTACATACCTTTTCTATAGTTTATTAATGATAAAGGCATTACTGCTAAAAAAAATACTAGCTATTTAAGCGGCAGTGAATGCATGCCTTGTTTTTGGTAATCAATTTGTTCATTGTGAGTAACCACCTCCATTTTAGTGCTAACTAGGAGCCCAGAGCAATGCATGGATAAACCAAACGAGTCTTTAAGATACACACTTCCTTGTTTATCTCAAAAATTCAATTATCCTGACATAGTACAGGTACATACTGTAAATATAAACGAGTATCTAGACAGAAAACATCAGGAGCTCTTATACATACTGAGATACAAGGGTACCTCAAGTTACAAACTTAATTCGTTCCAGAAGGCTGTTCGAGTGCCGATACCAAACGAATGTGTTCCCGTAAGGAATAACGTAAATTAGATTAGTCCGTTTCAAACCCCCAAAAATACTTACAAAAGCACTTAAAAAATACACTTACATATGTAGTAATTGTTTGAGTTGGGAGCTGTTCCAAACTCAAGGTACCACTGTATTTCTATAAGCAAAACAATGAACTAATTAAATGTATTATACCAAAAAAATCATAGGAAAGGCCTCATACGGGAGAAAAACCATTTAACCAAAAAGCTCACACTTAGGAGAGGAACTTTTTGATGTTTCCATCCATCCTGGATCATTTACTTTTCTCTCCCCAGTTGTGACTTGACAATGATCCAGGATGGACCAAAACATCATCATAAGGCTGCTCTTATAAATGTGGGGTTTTGGTGAATTGTTTCACCCACAGTATGGCGACTTTTTATTCTTGAGAAACCATTTTATTGTTCAGTGTGTAAATAACATTTCACCAAAAAAATTTATCTTGTACAACATTAACAACTATTTTAATGATCAGTATACAAAAGAAATTTAACATAAAATAACCTTAACATGCACATGAGAACTCACACAGGAAAGAAGGCATACTATTATTCTGTATATAAAACACTTTCCATGACAAAAATCATCTAGTAAGAAATACAAAATTCCATGAAGGAAAGAGAGTACAAACATTATCTTTAAATTACGTAAAAAAAAAAAAAAATCTAAAATAATTCAAGAGAGCATGTGAGAACTCGTACACAAGAAGTTATATTAACACCCAAAAGAACACAACCATAAAACTCTACTAGCATCACATAATACTTTCCATAACACTTGTCATTTGATGGCACCAGCATCAAAAACTCTCCGCTGAAGGAGATTTTGTGATGCTGGTGCCATCAAAATGTACGCCACTATAAACGTTTTAAACGTTCGTGTCTTCGGAGTGCATAAATCCCATCGTTTTCCATCAGCACAAAAAAATTACCGATGCTAATATACTCATAAACGATCTTGAGACTCAGCTCGGGAGCTAGAACACGTTGCCGGAAGAAAAAAACCTCCAGTAATAGAGCACAAACACATAATTACGTGTGGTAGTCCAGACGGTCACGATGACTGCCATGTTGTTGTTGTTACTGATGTTGATCAATGATCAACCATTTACTATAATATATTTGATATTTTATTGTTTTAAATAGCCCTTGTGGTTTAGCGCTTCTTTTTTATAATAATAATAATAATAATAATTGTTTTAAATAGTAGTAGATTGTAATACCTTACATTATAATGTAAATTGTTCCATTGTAATATCAAATTTCATGGTTTTAAATAGTTCTAAACTGTAATACATCACAATGTAAATTGTTTTAAATTGTTAAATTGTAATACTGTGATCGTTATTAACTAATTCAATAGTTTAATAAATCTCTACTAGACTTATCAAAGTCATGTAGCATCACCTGAGATAATATTCAATTCTCCTATATTCACTGTAACTCATCTAATGACCATATCAACTCTGTATTATTGTCTTCCTAATCTTAAGTTAATTTTTAAGTTTGCCCGAAATACTCTACATATAAAGGGGCTTTTGGCATGTACACCCCACTATTATATTCCCTTGTACAGCCATGTAACTTATTAAAATAAAAATCTTAATCGTAATCCTAAGTTATGAGCCATCAGGACTCTCAAATGTACTGAGCTCTAGCTCCCGGCTCACGGAGGCAATGTTGCTTAAATCTGGGAGGAAACAGGAAAGAGAAGAATATGTATATTTCCCCGTAGGAAAGGTGAGATACCTAATTAAACACCTGAGACAAACATACGTCGCTGAGTTAGTGACCGACTGGCATGTAAAATCAGGTGTTTTATGCCCCCATTAAGATATCGATTATTATTATTATCAGTATTAGTATTATTATTTAGTTTATAAGAAGCTCAAATCCTGTGTAAGTTTTTGAGAGAGAATACAAAATGGAATACCAGGCGCTGTAAAGGATTTGGTAGATTTTTAAAAGGCCCCCCAATGGAAATAAGTCACTTCGACTTTGTTGGGTTATTCTAGCTTCTCTACACACATGCTGCTATATATGATAATCTATTTAACTATTTGTGTATACTTACTAGTAAAGTTTATGGTATTAGTTTGATCTTCACCAGAAGACGCAGCTACTGCTAGCAGAACAAAATGGCACAATACCTTGACTGAACAATACACAAATAATCCGCATATATGAGAGCGAAGCTTACGACGACGTTTCGGTCCGATTTGGACCAAAACTTTGTAAAAGGTCCAAGCCGGACCGAAACGTCGTAGTCATAAGCTCCTCTTTCCTATGTGCAGGTTATTTGTGTATACCTCTAGCAGAATTGTTAAAGGATTATGACTTCAAGGAGAGGTTAGTTTTAGTTTAATATATTCATTAAGTACCCCATATTCATCCTGTGGGCGGTAGTCAAAAGATTAGAGGTACATAATGGGTCCAGGGACTGGACCCCAAAGTTCTCATATCAGAACAAGTTACAACAGCAATAAAATCTTCGAACACTCCTCCAGAAGGATCATAACATCTAGAACTGACCTCCGCATGAACCAGATAGATTATAATCCTAGGCTGCACCTTAGCAATAATACAAAAAAAGAATCTTCAGTTGAACTTCACTGACTTGAGAGTGGGGAGTAACACCAGTCAGTCCACTTATCAGCATTCTATCATCCAACGGAAATAAGTCACTGGCTTTTTTGGGGGCTATCCTGGATAATTTACACATATATTACTAGGTATGGTAAATGTACTTACTTGTACTGTAATAAACTTAAGTATTGGAGGAGCCATATGTTCACAGTACATCCAATAAAATCAGCAGACTTGTATGATAAGATAAGATATGTCACTAGTGCCACTGTGTTAAGCTCTGGCTGGGTTATAAGCACCTCTGAGAGCTGCTTTATCATCACCAGCTCATGATGACAAACTTTATCTCTGCATTTATGGCTTACAGTTAATTCATGTGTAGACATAATTACGGGCAGACTTTGCCAGGTGGACTATTGTTACACCCAGCGTCATTATGTGCTGAAATGTGATAAAATTAATGAATTTAGAGACAACTCACTTAGAAATGCTCAAGAAATGTCAAAGTATTTTATCCACAGTGGCATATTACCAACCAGTCTGGAAAAATACCCTATTATTATTATTATTATTATTATTATTATTATATTATAATCAAGGAGAAGCGCTAAACCCGTAGGATTATACAGCGCCTGTGGGGGGATGTGGAAAGTATTCAGGCTTAATTCAGGGAACTGGAGCACAGATCTAATTCCCTAGATCAAGAGCCCCTCACCAGCGTCAAGGAGCCTTTCTTGTGGGGTGCCCACTGTAAATAGCTCATTACCCCTTAAACTTGTTTAAATTCAACCATACCTTCCTAAAATATAGGGTAATATAAATAATAGAAAAAAACACATATAAGCTACACTAATATTTCTGAAGTGACTGAATTCATGTCTTCATTAAATAGCTCACTATGACTGACACCAGACATAAGCTTGTAAATAGTACATTACCACTAACTTTTTTAGCTATAAAAACTTTCGGGCCCAGTCCCTAGACACATTATTTAACAACAACAACAACAACAGTAATAATAATAATAAATTCTGTAAATATATGATACAACCAAAACAGACCTAGTTAACATCACTGGCATTTCAGGCAACTTACGTTAATCTTGTCCCTCAGGATGCGACCTACTAGCTGACTAACACCCAGGTGCCTACTTCTAGGTGAACAGGGGCAGCAGGTGTAAAGAAATATGCCCAACGATTCAGGTGTACCGAGGATTTCGTGGGTTTAGCGCTTAGTTTTGACTCGAATAATAATAATGTACCAGGGATCGATTCGGACTTTCAGCGTGTGAGCTGAGGATGCCCATAAAATAGTTATGACAGTACGTAATTAAATAAGATAAGCATATTTTGGATATAATTACACACTTTATGTAGATGATTGCATTAGTCTTACACAGTAACACAAGTGTAAACTACGCAGGGTTATCAAAAAAGTGACACAAGGTGTCTTATTTCCATAGAAGTCCTAGTAATAACTCACTGTTAGGAGCCTATTAGATACAGTACTCACCACATAGTTCAGTAATATGTGGATCAGCAAGATGTAAGAAGAACAAACTTTCCAGGACGTGGCTGGTAATCCAGTGATACTGAGGTCAGAGAGAGAGAGTGAGACCTCCACACACTATCAGTGTAGGTACTGAAGTTCCTGGAACATACGTTCCGCCGTCGAGTCCCGGATCTCGCGATACGTATGGGCACTTTCAAGCTTATCCCAGGGTACATAAATAGAACAGAAAATCCAATTATATTGAAAGTCATGTCCATGAAAAAAAAATCAACGCTTTCCAAGAAAATTCCAGTCATGCTGGAAGTCATAGCCTAGAAAAATTCCAGTGTGCAAGTTTTCTAGTGTAGGTTTGCAAGAGGTCAGCGCAGTGTAAGTACGTCTCGTGGTACAACAGGTAGTGGTACAATGGTATGCGGTACCAACAAGCTGTTGGAAAAGGGAAACAAAATGCGAACACTAAACCGTTTTAATTAATGGATTATTATTATTATAATCAAGGGGGAAGCGCTGAACCCGGAGGATTATACAGCGCCTGGGGGGGGGGATGTGGAAGGCATTCAGGCTTAATTCGGGGAACTGGAGCACAGATCCAATTCCCTAAATCAAGAGCCCCTCACCAACATCAAGGAACCTTCCTTGAGGGGTTTAATTAATGGAAACGTTTCGGTCCGAGGACCTTAGTCACTCCAAATGTACATCTGGAATGACCAAGGTCTCAGGACTGACACATTTTTTTCCATGAAATATTCCAGTATTTGCATTCTTTGCCTTTTTTCCCCACAAGTAGTAGTACCTGTGGCTCACAACTGAATAACCCACGGTCGAACCCGAGACAAATGGAAACGTTGACTGTTTCCCTACACCTGTTGATCCTCTTCACTTACTAATTAGCAGCTACCAGTGTGCTAGAATATTCGAATGGGAAAAGAATTTAAAGACTGCAATAAAAATAAGCTACATTAAGTGTAGCTAATTTCCATTGCAGTCCTTAACAGCTTGGTTGATCAGAGCCTGATCAACCAGACTGTTACTTTTGGCCGAATGCAAACCAATGCACGAACCACAGCCTGGCTGATCAGGTACTGACTTCAGGTGCCTGTCTAGAGCCTTCTTGAAGACAGCCAGGGGTCTATTTGTATGTACGCTGGGAGGCAATTGAACAGTCTTGGGCCCCAGGCACTTACTGTGTTGTCTCCCAGTGTACTCGAGGTGCGCCTGCTTTTCATGGCTAACCCTCCGGGATAATAATCTGATGATAATAATCTGTTTTAACAGTGCACTTAATTATACTGATAAACTACCTAGCAGTAAAAAATAGATAATAGGGTAAATAATCCATGTCCAGTACCGAGGAATCTTTATTGTGGAGACGTTTCGCCAACTAGTGGCTTTATCAATCCAGTAAAGAGAATAATAATGGAGACGGTAGTTTGAGGTGATCAGTCCCTCACCCTTGAAAGGAGATAAATATTCCGTCAGTCTTCATAATGGCGTCGAGGGTTAATACAATAAATAGATGTACCCTGATAGCTTGTGGCGCTGTGGGATGATACACTAGTCACAGACGGTGCTAATGAAACAACCCAGTCACAATTGTGCTGGTTGTAAGAGCATCCTGTTGTATGCTCAGTGTATGTTGTGTGTGCTCCTCCGTGTATACTCGGTGTATGCTCTGTGTATGCTGCATATGCTGTGTATGCTCCGTGTATGCTGTGTATGATCCGTGCATACTCCGTGTATGCTCTGTGTATGCTCTTTGTATGCTGTATATGTTCTGTGTATGCTGTGTGTGCTCCGTGTATACCGTGTATGCTGTGTATGCTCATTGTATGCTGTATATGCTCCGTGTATGCTGCGTATGCTCCGTGTATGCTCTGTGTATGCTTTGTGTATGCTCCGTGTATGCTGGAGTTTACCTGGAAAGAGTTCCGGGGGTCAACGCCCCCGCGGCCCGGTCTGTGACCAGGCCTCCTGGTGGATCAGAGCCTGATCAACCAGGCTGTTGCTGCTGGCTGCACGCAAACCAACGTACGAGCCACAGCCCGGCTGGTCAGGAACCGACTTTAGGTGCTTGTCCAGTGCCAGCTTGAAGACTGCCAGGGGTCTGTTGGTAATCCCCCTTATGTATGCTGGGAGGCAGTTGAACAGTCTCGGGCCCCTGACACTTATTGTATGGTCTCTTAACGTGCTAGTGACACCCCTGCTTTTCATTGGGGGGATGTTGCATCGTCTGCCAAGTCTTTTGTTTTCGTAGTGAGTGATTTTCGTGTGAAAGGTCGGTACTAGTCCCTCTAGGATTTTCCAGGTGTATATAATCATGTATCTCTCCCGCCTGCGTTCCAGGGAATACAGGTTCAGGAACCTCAAGCGCTCCCAGTAATTGAGGTGTTTTATCTCCGTTATGCGCGCCGTTAAGGTTCTCTGTACATTTTCTAGGTCGGCAATTTCACCTGCCTTGAAAGGTGCTGTTAGTGTGCAGCAATATTCCAGCCTAGATAGAACAAGTGACCTGAAGAGTGTCATCATGGGCTTGGCCTCCCTAGTTTTGAAGGTTCTCATTATCCATCCTGTCATTTTTCTAGCAGATGCGATTGATACAATGTTATGGTCCTTGAAAGTGAGATCCTCCGACATGATCACTCCCAGGTCTTTGACGTTGGTGTTTCGCTCTATTTTGTGGCCAGAATTTGTTTTGTACTCTGATGAAGATTTAATTTCTTCGTGTTTATCATATCTGAGTAATTGAAATTTCTCATCATTGAACGTCATATTGTTTTCTGCAGCCCACCGAAAGATTCGGTTGATGTCCGCCTGGAGCCTTGCAGTGTCTGTAATGGAAGACACTGTCATGCTAAGTGTATGTTCTGTGTATCCTCTGTGTATGTTCCGTGTATACTCTGTGTATGTTCCGTGTATACTGTGTATGCTCCGTGTATGCTCTGTGTATGCTCCGTGTATACTCCGTGTATGTTCTATGTATGCTCCGTGTATGCTCCATATATACTCTGTATGCTCTGTGTATGCTCCGTGTATGCTTCGTTATGCTCTGTGTATGCTCTGTGTATACTCTGTGTACACTTCGTGTATGCTCTGTGTATACTCTGTATGCACTGTGTATGCTCCGTGTATGCTCTGTGTATGCTCCGTGTATGCTCCGTGTATGTTCTGTGTATGTTCTGTGTGTTCTCCGTGTATATTCTGTGTATGCTCCGTGTATACTCCGTGTATGCTCCGTGTATGCTCTGTATGCTCCGTGTATGCTCCGTGTATATTCTGTGTATGCTCCGTGTATACTCTGTGTATGCTCCGTGTATGCTCTGTGTATACTCCGTGTATGCTCCGTGTATGCTCTGTGTATGCTCCGTGTATGCTCTGTGTATACTCCGTGTATGCTCCGTGTATGCTCTGTGTATGCTCCTGGAGTTTACCTGGAGAGAGTTCCGGGGGTCAACGCCCCCGCGGCCCGGTCTATGGCCAGGCCTCCGTGTATAATCCGTGTATGCTCCGTGTATGTTCTGTGTATGCTCCGTGTATGCTCCGTGTATATTCTGTGTATGCTTCGTGTATACTCTGTGTATGCTCCGTGTATGTTCTGTGTATACTCCGTGTATGCTACGTGTATGT